AAAATTTTTAAGTGCCCCGATATAGCATGGTCTCAGTTAATAAACCAAGTTCAGAGAAGATGGAATAGTGACAAGAGAATTGGCCTATATAAAGAGAAAATCACCATCGATGTTGTTTTATTCATTATAGAATAATGATAATTATTATGTTACCTTAAAGTAGTATATTCCAAATTTAGTGACAATTAATATTCAACCTTCAAGAAGTATTATATTTAAGGTTGAAAGATTTATTTATGTATTAGGAAGGCATGTAAGAAATCTGCCAGGTTTTGTCGATCATTCTGCCTAGGTTGATCGACATCGGCCTACATTAAATTGATTTTAAGGTTAAAGTTGGATTTAGGTTAGGGTTAGATGCGGATTCAAGCTGAGGAATTTTTTTTTGTTAGAGCACGAAAAGCTGTTTCATAAGCAAAATTTTGAGATAAAAAAATTTTTTCATAATTTTGTCGATCGTGATTGACAAAACCCGACACAGAATTCTTGCGTGCATTTAGAGGAACGTTTATCCATAAAGACTCTAAAGCAAAAAAATTTTTAAGTGCCCCGATATAGCATGGTCTCAGTTAATAAACCAAGTTCAGAGAAGATGGAATAGTGACAAGTCCTTATTGAGTTTGCCTCTTGCAAGACCAACGATTCCAAAAATAATGGTTGGTACCTAACCATAATAGTAAAAGCCCTTTATAGAGTTTTACATTTATTCATATTGATTTTTATCGATTTAGGAGAAACGAAGGAAAATAGAACATAACGATATACCAACTGCGCGCACGTATAATGTCACACAAGTAAGGACTATAAAATACAAAACACGGTTTTTTAGTTGATCAAACTAACAACCATGGTCATTCAACATTTTTGCACTATGAGAAATCGGTAACTCTTGATGAAATGTCAGATATCAGGCAACTCGCAAGTAATATTGATAAAATCGAGTTACCAAATCAATTGGCATCTATTTTGGACAATCGTATGCTTCAACATGTCATAGTGTTAAATCCAGAGAGTATGCAAATTATATTTTAATGTGTATCAGAAAGGCGATGTTATTGATATCGTTATCTTATTGTTCGTAGGGGTTGCCATTGCAAGAATAAGTTATTGGATTGATCAATATCTCATGGATCTAGTTTATTGGAGTGATCAAAACACGAATACGAAGATGAGATTTGATTGCTTGTTGAATAAATTAATTACTATGACAGAGTTCATGAAGGTATAATTTTGTGTTTATATGTTTTATAATACGCGTATTGTTGAAAACATGTTATTTTGTCTGTAGGAATTGCTTCCCGGTATTCAGGAGTTCTTAACGAAATATATTCATTCTTGGGATGGTGGAGAATATCAAGATCTAATTTTCAGACTTTTGACATTCTTAAGGCCAGGACCTTATAACCGTCGGTTTTTGTTATATTTAAAGTTAATACAGTTTATGATTGTAAATTTAATTAATTATGGATTGCATTCATTTATTTTTAATTGTTACCTTTTAGAATTTTATGAAAAAATTTTGAAACCATTACAATTTTTATATTGCAATTCATCGCCTGGTTGGAAGGTTTGCATTCAATGATATATCCATAATATATTGAGCAAAATTAATATTTTTCATTAATTTGTTTGATTAGTCCAAATTGATTCGTTGTTATACTGATTTGCTAAAGTATTGGACTTTACTTTACGAGAGGCATTACGAAAGCATGAAACAAGGAAATATTGATAATGATGACGAAGATTTGTAAGAAAAATAATCAAAGCTTTTCTGCATTTGACATACGATTTTGCTATCTTTTTTTTTTTTTTTTTTTTTTTATATGATTAGAGACAATTCAATTGAGAAATTGTCAATTAACGGAAATTATTCTCAAACCATACTCAATTTTATTGATTATGTTAGCAGAACCATCCTGATTGTGCCTGAGGTAAGACTTCATCATGACAATTTGCAAATATTTGTTGTAAATCGTTTAAATCGCTTAATTCTTTGTCACAGGATGAGGACCAAATAGAAGTACAACACGCTATTTTATCTTTTATGGAAATTTCAACGCTTCTACAACTTAAATATGAATTCCACAATATCGTCTTGCCATCATATTCAATCATTTATCGTTCTTTTTTTTCGACTTATGGAATGCCTTTATCACGAGTTTGTGGCATTATTCTACGGTAACGTGATATTTCATCTATTTAATCATTGCTTAATTAGCTTAAATTTTGATATTTGATAATTTTGATAGATATCAAGATGAATTCGATAAATGCGAGCAGGATGCATCCGTATCTAGTGGTGCGTTGCGTTACAACATCAATCAAATCAATTATTTCAACTCTTTTGTGATGGATTTATATAATGGGATTTGGAGAAATAGACCTTTTAGTAAATTTGATAAAGATGCTAAAGGTTTTCAACTGAATGAGTAAGTCATTAGTTATTTGCTTTTTATGTTTTTTAATGCCTTTTATACAATATGATACGAATGATTAACGTCTTACCGTTTAATCTAGTGATGTCATCTCTCAAATACAAAGATTGTGCAATGAGTCGTGTCCAAAATGCCTATCACTGATTCATCTTCCGTCCTTGTCTTTAATATCCAAATGTTACTCTCAGGTACTTCGAATATCAACATTTTATATATGGAAATATTGTTGATATGATAAATATGGGTGTCGCCAAGTGAATCTGTCACCTGGCTCTTAAATTTATAAGTTACCAGACATAATCCCTAAAACTCAGATCGGTAAGCAACGAACTTGAAACTTCAATGACAGGC